CAACTACTGTCCATAAGGAAAATGTAAGAAAAAGCCAGGCAAGACTGTGTAGCTGGTCAAAGAGCTTGCTGGGCCTCAGATGACACTTCTAGGAAGCAAATGAAATTCAAATGCAGCTACCAGCTCCCCTCTTACTGTATAATTATGTGTACTCATTATTGGTACACCATGTTATTACTTAAATGTCCCCCGTTTCAGCCCCAGCGGGCCAAGGGGCCTTAAAGGGTGGCCAAGGTCTCAGCCTCTGCCAGTGCTTTCCTACGCTTTGGTCAGTTTATTATAGCCAGAAAAAGCGGCATTGTCTACAGCAGGAAGCAGACAGGAGGCTCACAATCAGCAGACCTTAAGGCCACCAGCCCTAAGCCCTGCTACAACCAACGAGCTGCAGCAGTGGATGCAGTTCCAACAGGGACCATCCATGCAGCTGTCCAAGACTCGCATTCGCTACCTGAAGCTGATGGAAAAACTTCATTCCTTGTTACCTTAGAGCCACAGAAGCAAGACTGATAGCAAACATGGGCTTTATGACATAAAATACCAGGTCTCTCTACTGTCTTACGGCGGCTTGGGTTGTTACTACTATACCAGACCTGCAGAAGAGGGCCGGTGGGCCTCCGTGCTGCCCTCAGGTGTTAACAGGCAGCAGACACCAGCCCCCTTTGCACAAATGTCAGGGTAAGGGCCTGCGAGTTCATCACCCCAGATGCCAACTGCTTAGCAGAAGGGATGTCGATTTGTTTCCAAGTTAGATAAAATTATGTCAAGCCCATTCTATTGTTAATGAAAAACATTAGAGGGGGAAAAAACGGAACTTTCCCAGGAAGCTCTGGCAGAGCCAATAATCCAGAAACATCTCTGTCTAAAAAACTTTAGGGGAAAAAACAAAACCCTTTGCTTTCGATACCACTGTTAAAAAGATGGGGCGTAATGTTCACCCGTCCCATGTTCTAAAATAAGTTCTGGGCGCAGAGTTACATGACCTGAGATGCACTCACAGTTCTGAAAAACAGCCGTGTGACCTTCAGAAGTCACAACCACATACGGGGGGGCCTTGTCTGACAGTCACAAAAGCCTCACAAGGCAGTGTTCCTCTGCTTACACACAGAAGGTGGCGGACGAGGGGGGCAGGGTTCTCAGAGGTGGCGAACTACCCAGGGTCCCCACGCTAAAATCCATGAAAAACGGAAGCAGAGGGGTAGAAGCCCCCCACATGCCAACAAAAAAGTCGATTCAGACTCATGGCAACCCCATGGATGTCACAGCAGAACTGCTCCACAGGGTTTTCAATGACTGAGTTTCAGAAGCAGATCACCAGGCCTTTCTTCTCGGGCGCCTCTGGGTGGACTCGAACCACCAACCTTTCAGTTAGCAATCAGCACCCCTGTAGTACCCTGGGACTGCGCTCACCTTTGCCCCACCCAATCTCAGTCTCCTCCCAAAGGCTCTAAACTAGACAGTCTGAAAACTCTACCACCAGACTAATTTCTGTGACAATTAAAACTGGACCAATGGAACTATTTCAGCTTTTGAAAGGGAACCTCAAGGAAATGGAGGGGGCCAAAAAATTAAAAAATAAAAAGAAACATATACCATGCATGCTAAACACAAACCCCCTCCCCCCAGCTATTTCCGGTTTCACTTGCCTCGCAATGAATGTGTAGTTTCAGACAAGGTCATTCAATTGCATAGTGTGTGAGTAATGACCTACTATTATGTATAGATTCAACCTCAAGTGATCTACATACAAACATATGTATATACACATATATCCAGAGAGAACACTGCTTGCAATCACCCCTACTCCCAACAGCATAAGCCCCAAAACAAGTCTTGGATCTCCCTGCTCTCAGCTGTCACTGGCTCACACCCCCACCCCGCACAGAGCAGGCCTGGGATCCCAGGACAAGTGGGGCTCACAGAGACAGAAGTTATTCCCCTGGCAACTCTTCTGCCTTCCGGTGCTTTCCAGTGGTCCCCACACAAGAAAGCACACTGTTTAGCATGTTAGCTGACTTTCAGAAAATTATTCTTAAACACACTTAAGTTCTGAAACAAGGAGATGCGTTTATTTAGAACTGCTACGGAAATTCAACACACGGAATGATAAAGAGGTGGTCTTGCGTGCCGTTTCAACACCAACAATGACCAGAAAAGGGCATCTTCACAGCAAATTCACCACGAAAGAAGAGAGACATTGTCTCGTTGTTTAAAAAAAAACTGACAAGAAAGTCTTTTACCAAGGTGAAAAAGAAACTATCACCACAAAGACTAACTCTACTTTATGAAGGAGGTGCAAGAATTAAAGTCTTCAGCGATCCCAACAGAGAGATATCTATGCCAGCTTTTCTTAGAATTCTTTCCTCATTATCGTCAAGCCCTTAAAAACTATGGCTACATTTGGCTAACTGGCTGGCAGAGCCAGTCATTTCTTGAATGACCAACTTTGGCTTTTCGTTCTTTTACCCAAATTCCACCTTTAGAAAACCCTGGACACCTGGCTAACTTCTCTATTTGGAAGCTGAGTTTTTCCACAGTAAAGAAAGCATGGGCTGTTTTTCAATTCAGTTAGAGAATCAAAGAAGCAATAAGTATCTCCAGTGCGTAAGAGCAAGATGTGAGAGAACATTCCTTATCACAATAAAATCTAAAATTACAGCAGCTATTCTTCTACTTTCACGGTACATTCAATGATACTCTCCCCCCAGCACACATGCCCCTCAAAAAAGCTTAAATCAAGCAAAAGGCTGATGTTTAATGTGAAGCGTTAACAATAAACAAGAACTAACACATCAAATGCTTTCTAAATAGACACAGGGCTTAGAGTTTACCGTATTACAAGCAGCCAAGGGATGGACGGGATCCCTATCCACTGGAGATCCAGATAATAAGGAAAGGTATCTGTCACAGATTGAATTGTGTCCCCCAAAAATATCTGTCAACTTGGCTAGGTCATGGTTCCCAGTATTGTATGACTGTCTACCATTTTATCATCTGATGTGATTTCTTTATGTGTTGTAAATTCTACCACTATGATGTAATAAGACGGATTAGTGGCAGTTATATTGATGAGATCTGTAAGATTAGATAGTAGTCTTAAACCAATCTCTTTTGAGATATAAAAGAGAGAAGCGAGCAGAGAGACAGAGGGACCTCGTATCACCAAGAAAGTTAGTGCCAGGAGCAAAGCGCGTCCTTTGGACCTGAGGTTCCTGCACTGAGATACTCCCAGACCAAGGGAAGACTGATGACAAAGACCCTTCTCCAGAGCCGACAGAGAGAGAAAAGCCTTTCCCCGGAGCTGATGCCCTGAATTTGGACTTTTAGCCTACTTCACAGTGAGGAAGTAAACTTCTCTTTGCTAAAGCCATCCACTGTGGTATTTCTGTTATAGCAGCACTAGATGACTAATACAGTATCCATTAGTAAAATAACATACAGGGGCCCAAATTTTATACTTCTGACAGTAGATTCCACTGATCTCAGAGACCGTTTACACCTGACTTATTTTGCTTCTGAGCAAACGAAAGAAACTCAAAATGGTACTTTCATACATGTTGGGGGGGGAGGGCTGCCTGACCGAGCCATTGTGGCCTTGACTGTTAACAAGGAAGAAAAACCAGAAGGGAGAGGTCGTTGCTTGTTTCAAGCTACACAGTGCTGGAAGAAAAGAGGGACACAACTTTACGAATCCTGGGTAAGTAGAGTAGACTCCAAATCCCAGAGGAGCTCCCGGAGGCCATGTCAGCAAAGCCCGCAGCGGACCTATGGAAAGGAAGCAGCACCAGGCCCTGTCTGTAAGTACTAGTTCCAGTAAGAGACTCCCAAACAGCTCACAACTAGGCAGGCTGGAAAGGAACTGGAAACCATAACTGCATCTGTCGTTCTGCACACCCCAAATACAAGGAACTCCATATAGGGTTAACCAGAAGAGCTCCTCAAAGGAAAGATCCTCTAAAATGAGAACAGAATCTCCTCCTCTTCTTCATCTCTTGTTCCAAGCAAAAACTGGAACATACTCAATTCATTCACATTTCTTAACAATTCCAAGAGATGAAAGCACAACAGAGACTGGAGTGCCATCACAGCCACTCCCCCTGAAAAAAAGGTAATAGTACCAAAGGTTGTTTCTGACATGGTTTTCACTGATCTCATCCGAATCATAGCAGCCTTGTTAAAAAGGGACATCAGAATTAACTCGAGAGGAACAAGTGTCCTTCCATGTTTTAAGGATCCCTTTGAGAATCATCCCAGACAGAGGTACACTTCTAAATGCACAGGAATTCTATTCCACTGTACCTTATTTTTATGCAAATAATGCACACCTTCTATGTCTGTCTGCCAACCGTGCCCTCCTACTGCACCGCTAAAGCAATTTTTTTCTTTTTTTACATGTTGCGGTCTTAAAAAAAAATTAGCATAGCACACTCGTAATACCTCACGGGGAGAGGGGCCAGCTGGCAAACAAGTGTAGAAGGCACGTGTTACATGCGTTACAACACAGTATTCCTGCCGCCATGCAGTGACCTGCCCAGCCTGATGACCACGGACAGAAGCAACTACTAAGGCGGGTACTGAGCCAGGGAGCAGGAAGGGCAGCGGGCAAGCAGATTTACACTATTTCCTACACCAACAGAGGATAAGAACTAAGGGCTCCACGTTTCAGCTAGATAATCAAGCGGGTCTGCACTCCTACTTGGGTAGAAAGATACAGGCTCCACAGTCAACCCAGGACCTAGCTAGATATTGGATGGCACAGCCCTGGTCTTCTTAATAGGGATCAGATTAAATAAGGCACCTTGTAAATTACATTATACAGTACATAAAAAGAACATAAAAACAAATCTACAGACCCAACAGGATTTTGGAATACACAGTCACATAGTCTACACGCTGCCAAGAGGTGCCGAGCCCAAGCAGCACAAGATGCCCAGGGTACACCCAATGCAGAAACAAGGTCGTGCCCAGAGACATCCTCCAGTCCATCAGGATAGTCAACTCACCATTCACCGCTTTGAGGCTCCCAGCAAGGCCTTCACCGTGCTGCCTCTTCTGGGCATTCTTGAACTCCTTCAGAGACAAATAAAGGACTTTCCGTACCGCCCTTTCTTCTGACCACGGAATCCCATCACTGTCATCCTGAAGAAACAAAGGAAAAAGAGGAGTTACTTACAAGCAAGCAAATTTATATTCTGACTCATGTTTTAAAAAAAAAAAGAAAATCCAAACAAGTATTGTGTGACTGAGACCCAAGATGTGAGAATCAGAATCATATCACGGGGTAAAAGGAAAAACACTGGCCCTTCCGGCACAAGGTTAATCCACAGGCTGCTGGAAGGAGTGAAAGAAACACACTAAGACCTCCCTTTCTTTATATACCCAACACCCAAACACACTCACTCACAACTAGTAATGCTGGCATTTTATATTCCTGGCAAAGTTTAGAAAAAGAGGTTATGAAACCCAACAACCAAAGGTGTAACAAAGCATTTTCACTGGAATTGTTTAAATTGAGTAATACCAGAATGTGTACTGTATTAGAGACATGTGCAACAGCCTTCTGGAATGTTTTGGTATTGTCACTGGGGGCTGGGAGGCTGTAATAAAACGTGGACCCTACCTTCAAAGGATTTACAACTCAGAAGTGAGGGGTGATCTGCACTGGCCTCTTAATAAAATGAGACAGAAATGAGCAGAGAAGAGAAACCATTGCAGGTAAGGACAACAATCATGGTGAAACAGAGATGGGGTGATGATTTGAAACACACACACAGACACACACCCCACACACACATACACACACCCCACGCACGCGCGCATTAACAGGCCATAAAGCTTGATTTCCTTATTAACAAAATGAAGGCCAGGTGTTTGTGGGGTAAAAGACGACAACAGGAAAGAAAAAGCAACCAGCACAGAGAACATTCCAACAATCCCAATAGCAAAGACAGATTAAAATTAAAGAAGCACCAAACAGAAAAAAACATCAGCCGGTAATTGAGACAGAACAAGAGACAAGCCTGGGGAGGTGAAGATGTTGATACCCATGAATGATGGTTGACTGAACTGAGGCAACTGGAGAAGAGATACATGCTTTAGGAAATCACCAAGAAGAAATCCAGCAGAATTAAATTTAAGGATGGAAGTACGTGAGCTTCCCAGATATTTGGGGCTTTAGAAGAATAATGGAAAGATGAATATTGGGTAAAAGCAGGACTTCAGATATTCAGGTTCCTTTTGTTGAACAGAGCATGCAAATTCACAGGTTAGCCGGTGCTGATGAGACCGGGGAGACAGCAGGACTGGTGTTTGCTCCCTGCCACTGCCTCGGTGACAGGTGGTGTAAAGCCTCCAAGGAACTCAGTGAGAACGCCCGATCACAGAGGTTTTTTCCAGTTCTTAAATTCCTAAACCGGCATAAACACAAACTACATCTTAGAAACCCAACCATATAGAGACTCTAAGCCCTAAATAACTCGAGCTGCACCGTTGTTAAGCTTCCAGGATTTCCGAGAATGAGAGCAATTCTCCCTCTCCTACAATTAGGGGAAGAAAAGACCGAGGAGAAAAGAGCGCCAGGATGCTCACCTTCCACTAGACGGCCTGTACTGCCGCGGAGCTGCCGATAGAGAGCTGTTTTCTGGACATCAGCTCTAGACAAAGGCACACCTGTCTTCCTGATGGCTCTCCTGGGGGAACCTAGACATCTATAAACCTGGGGGCAAGCAGACTTCAGACCTGAATGCTAAGAGACAAAGCCAGCAAACTTGAACGCAAACTGACAAGAGGAATAAGCATAATTTTGAAACCACTACGGGGGGACAAGTCGCTAAGACATTCAAAAGAAGCCTTTCCAATCACATCATTAAAACGCAGAAAAATGCAGCTAACTAGCCCCCATTTAAGGGGCCCAAATAACCAAATGAGTAGACTGTAGATGAGTTAGCTACATGCCACATGAAAAGTGCAACGCAGCTGAGTTCATTTTGACAGTAACCCCCAGGAGTTTGCACGAAAGCTCCCGAACCCACTGCAACTGGTAAGTCTGAAGTGCAGGACGGGTTAGCGCTTTCCAGGGCTGAAATCCACCTTTCCAGCACCCACTGTCTATTCCATCGGGCAGAATTCCCTTCACCACCATCCACAACAAACACTGGCAGGGGACAGTAATGCCGCTGTTTCCCGCATAGACACAGCTGATAAATTATAAAACCCCAAAATAGCTTTCAACGTAAAACTCCCGGGAAGATTTACTGCCTCCTGCTCTGGCTGGCGACTTCATCCTGACTTCAGGTTCCAGAGGAGAGACTGATACCCTGCAACTAACGTCTAATTAAAACATAAACCACGTTGAGAGGAAAACTCCTGGGCAAAGGCAGGCACACTGAAGGTTCAGTTACGGACACAAGCAGCCGCTTCACACCTATTAAAACCCGCTGCTGTCCACTCGATTTCGACTCACAGCGACCCTGCAGGACAGAACAGAACTGCCCCATAGGGCTTCCAAGGCTGTAAATCTACGGAAACAGACTGCCACATCTTTCTCCAGCGGAGCAGCTGGTGGGTTCGAACCGCCGACCTTTTGCTTAAGCAGCTGAGCACTTAACCACTGTGTCACCAGGGCTTTTCTTTAAAAACAGGACACACAAATCCATGACACAGGGTATGGAGATTAAAATTCTAGATATTCAAATCAAACCGTTTTTTAATTATTATTTACAAGTGTTCTTTCAGAATCTAGAATGCTTCCTCAATGGTGAGGCCGAGTCCCAAACCTGGTAGAGTAAGCCAGCTCTATTTTGTTTCCAAAAGATGTACATGCAGGTAAAGAAGTAAGAATATTCAACATTAACCTGGCTCTCGCAGCTGCAGAGTCCCGGAGGCCCATCCTGCACTCACCTCACAGTTCTCCCTCAGAGTGGATTTCTAGATGCAGAGACCAAAGGACTACCTGCACCAACTCTAAGGCCGAACACGGCTATCCAGACCTGGGTGCTGTTGGGAGGCCAGGAGGAAGGCACTTCAAGTTTTTAACACTCACTCTCCTCTGGCTTCATCGCTGTTGAGAACAAGCCAACATACTGAACACTCTAGAAAACATCTCAGACATAACTCTGTCATTAGAGGTCAAGCAGACACAAAATACCAACACTCGCCTCTCCATTAAGAGTTTATTTTGACTCCCAAGGACAGGGCTTCCTTTCTCCTTTCCCTTTTTCATAAACTGTCTTCATACCTGCCTCCACTAAAGCTTTGGAAACTCTGTGGGGCAGTTCTACTCTGTCCTATAAGGCCCCTTATGAGTTGGAATGGACTCTACAGCAATGAGGGGGATCACTATACTCCAGGAAGTCAGGACTAGCTAGCTTCTCTCGTTCACCACTGAGTCCCCAGCACCTAAACCATGCCTGATGCTCTAGGGGCTCAATGCATATTTCTGGAATCAATCAAAACTCAGCCAATCTCAATCTTCCCGCCCACTTTTAGCCATACTGCCCTGCCACTACCTACCTGAAGGCAACATCTAGTAAGTTTTTAGTAAAGTGCCTGAGATAATTTCATTCTTTTCTTCTTCAATCACTTATAACACCCCCTTATAGTGACTGATCCAAAAGGGCCCAGCTCTACCCCTCAATCTCAGCAGGAAGCTTTTCATCCTACTAGAACCATCTGCCCTACACACTGGCTGCCACCACCCCTTCCTCCACTACCCAGTTCCCTGCAAGAAAAACAATGGCCATCTAAAAGTTCACCTGGTCTTACAGGGCCCAAATCTAATGACCTTTAACCAAACCAAACCCGCTGCCATCGTCAAGTTGATTCCAACTCATAGCAACCCTACGGAACAGAGGAGAACTAACTGCCCATAGTGTTTCCAAAGCTATAATCTTTAGGGAAACAGCCACATCTTTCTCCCGAGGAGCAGCTGGTGGGTTTGAACCACCAACCTTTCAATTAGCAGCTGAATATGCTTAACCACTGTGCTCCTAGGACTCCTTAATGACCCTTATGCTCTAAAATATTACCCAATTCCTTCTTAAAACACCTCTCCATCTGCTGCTCCTCTTCCCACCTCCCTCACCACACCTATACAGGCCCCTTTCCCTCTGTAAGCTCCAGGATTCTTTCCCTCTATGTTCAATTATTCATTCCCAGATCACTATTTTCAAATCAGCTGATATCCTAACTCATGCCTCAATGCTCAAGAAGCCCAACTAAGACTTTTTACTGTCCTACTCCACTTCAGGCCATATGGCTCTCACACCCTGAGATGGAATCACTCCTGAATGCCCCATTAAGGCAACCACCCAATTCCATCCCAGATCATTGGCCAGGTTAATACAGGGAGATAAAGGACAGGCTGCCACTGAGTTGAGTTCAGCAGCTTCATGCTGATGCTAATTATGTTAGCCAGAAGGCCTGTGAGTTCTCATGAACTTCGTTAAACATGTAAACCCCAGCTACCGCCATTTGGGGTTTCCATAAGAAAACTAGGTTAACCACCCAAAACAAAGTTGGAAAAGTACAATCCAAGCTCCCAGAAAATGCACCATCTTCCTTCCTTCCTATCACTCACTTGTATTTCCCAACTCTAAAAAAAATACTTCAGAAACACTGATACAAATAAAAATATTTGGGTCTGCTGGGGCACTGACTTTATGTTGACGGTGGTGGAATAATTTGGCATAGGATAGTGAGAACGGTTTCACAGCTTTAAGAATGTAAACAACGTCACTGAAGTGTACATGGAGAATTTGTTGATACAGTATATCCTTTGCTGCTGTGTATATTTTCACAAAAAATAAAATATATATATAGATATATAAAATTTTGAGTTTGCTCATAGAAAAATAAGATCACACAGCAGATTCACTGATCACTGACCACTATAAACCAATTTCTTTGCTAAATCAAAGAATGAGTAATAACGCCTTTGAAAGTAAAGCGACAGTGTTTTCTTTCAATTTCCCAAAATTCTGCCATTCTTTGAAATGAAGAGGGCATTTCTTATCAAAAATGACGAGTCAGGAATTAAACTTGAATGCTTATGGTCATAATCCTTTTTACTAAGGGAGTAAAACAAACACATACAACATAACCACAACCTGCTCCAAGCTTCTGTAACACACAACGTAGCT